CGGAGGCTGCACGACACAGAAATGCTTTTTTGGAGAGCATTCATTTGATATGACTTAATTATCAAGTCGAGCCATCCTACGGCGATTGATTACCTGGAGAGGCTAGGCTGCCTGCACGAAATTAGCAACTCATCTTCATTACTCCATACAAAATTAAATCTCCCATTAACATATACTCCGTACTATCTCCGTCCCATTTATAATATCCGGTTTTATCTTTTCAGAAAGTTCCACTTACATTGTCTCATACCATATTTGGTAAAGTTTGTGTGTCTCTAAATCATTCTTACTTTATCAATTAATATCAACCACACAAATCCACTTTTCTTAATAACTGTGTCACCCTCTTCCGGGACAATATAAATAGGACGGAGGTAGTATGTACTGCATATAATTCAATCAATTCAACTTTCACTCAACAAAGTTTTGTTTAAATAAAAATTCTATTTTATATTTTGGTTTATGTGCTTATTGTTGTAATAGTTATTAATTATTTATAAGGCTAATTATGGGTATGTTTGGCAAATGGCTGTTAGCTGTTGTTGTTAGCTGGTTGTGTCAGCTGTTTCCTAACAGCTGGTTGTGTTAGCTGTTTTGACTTGTTGGTTATGTTAGCTGATTATAGATAATTGTTTGGTAAAATTGGTTGTTTCGAAATGGCTGATAGAGTGTAATTGAACCAGCCGAATGAATAAGCTGCCCCCCTTAGCTTCTTCAACAATCCATTTTTTCAGCTTTTCAAACTCAACAAGCTAATTTTAAAAGCCGTTTACCAAACATCATTATTAGCTTCTTTGACCAATCAAACAGCTGAAATGGGTCAAACAAGCTAAAAGCCGGCTGATAAGCCATTTGCCAAACATACCCTATATGATGAGGGATGATAAGAAGAAGGGTTGAATTGGAATTCAGAATATGTGGAATTTACAATTTACATTATTTTAGATATTCACATGTATTATTGATATTGTACCATTTACATTATTAATTATTTAAAGTTCCATTATATAAAAAACAAATGTTTTGAATTCGGATGTTTTCTTTTGGATCGTTTTCTGTAGCAGACCAAGATCTGACCATATTAAATAGGCCAGACTAGACCATACTTCAATAATTATATAATACACAGAGACTAGACGTTTACCAGGCCAGACCAGTTCAGTTTAAATTTATACAGACCAAATCAGACCACATACCTACCAGATCAGCAAATTTTGATTCAAAAGAAAACATGCGTCGAGCCTCACTAAAATGTGTATGATTAATTTTTGTATTAATAGTCATATTGTGTATATTAGAGTCTCAATTTAAAAAATTTTAATTTTGTATTAGTGGTACCGTTTGAACTAGAAGGTAACAAAATGCTAAAATTATGTATGTGGCATGTACTAATCAGAATTCATAAATGCTACGAAATTGAATAGGAAAATTTTAGGGTGCATATACGTTGTGGAGTGTTTCGGTGCATTCCATAATTGACATTATCTGATTGGTGGTTTATTCCAGCTCACATTTTTATTAAAATACATGTTTATTGCAAATAGGTCCTCCTCAAATACATCGTTTGGCTTTTACGAAAGAAGCATGTCCACAGAGGCACAGACGAACCAGGCTTCTGGCGTCGGGCTAGAGGAATGAAAGCCAAAGACCGTCATCCTTAAGGTCGTCATCTTCAGGTCTTCAATTTAATTTGGTAATGGTGCTACTTTAAGTAAATAAATGAGGCACCTTCTTAGGTATTGTGAGATTACCTTAGGCACTGTTTTAGACTATCCCCAGTTTTTCCTTGACAATTGAAGGACACGAATAATATCACATTCCGGGAACCAAACAACATAGGATAATCTCATATTCCCGTAATCTTACTCTCTTATTAATAGTAGGCCATTATCCTTTTTACTAATTTCATATTACCAAAGATAAGCTTACAATCATGGTAGTCCAAAACCTCCCCAATTGTTTTTTGTGAGTGTCGTAACCTGCATTGGAAAAACTCAAGTTTATTATTTGCTTTTACTTTGGCTAAAGACAACAGGAAAGAAAAAATGTACCCCCTGTCTCAAAAAATTCTGATTTCAAAACTTAATTTGTTCCAACTTCCAAGACAACTGGAAGTCGTATATTCATTGAGTTCAATGTAACTTTTCCCAAAATGTTTTCCAAACAATTTATATATCTTACTTTTAACAAAGAATGTGAAAATATATGTAGGATAGATGCATTGGTTTACAAGAAAATTTAAAAGGTGAACCTTAATGAAACAAGACTCTATTCGGGAAGGATATAGTAGAAAGTCTTGAACGTAACGAACTCTGTAAGGTTTACTTTTCCTTCTCTACTGGGATGAAATTCTTACTGTGAGGCTCTGTGATAATCGAACTTTGTGTGCAGGCTCTTCCACAACTACAACTAAGGGGGCAAAAGATGCAGATCTTCCTAACTTGCTTGATCATCATTTATCTGACACAGAATGTCACACAGAAAGCAAAAGATGGTCTTCTCAGCCACATCTCTCTTCTTTGCACCATCTTTCAGAGTCAAAACCACGTCATAGAACATCTTCATATCCTGAACCTATTTCACTACTTTCAGAGGCGCACAGATCTGCCACTTCGTGGCAGCGGCTGAATCCGCTTCGGACCGGAACAACTCAGGTAAGTAAGTGTCATGGTCTCTAATGGTTACTTTCACTAATCATGATTTATTTTTTCTGTTAAAGTTGTTATTCCTGATTTTATTTGCATTTTTTTATTGCAAATTGGTTTAGTGTCAATTTAATTGAAGTCTAGTTCAACGAATCTAACAATTGTTGGTTAGTATTGTCTCTATTTCTTTATTTTCAGTCTGTTAAATGGCCTGTTGGCACTTAGTAGTGTGATTTTCTATTTGGTCGAGCAAGTTTTTTCGTACAATGCTCTTTGTAATCCAAATTTTATAATCTTTTTTTTCACATTTGGGTAAAAGAAATTATATTAAGAGTTTGAGTGAAAACGTGGTGGTTTTGGGTAACTAGTATAAATTTTGTTCTTTCAACTAAGGGATTGATGTTTATTTCTGTTGGATGTTGGGTGTGTTTATGCATACAAAGTAAAAAAAACAGAAGAATTTCATTCATTGTTTTAAATTATTATACAGAATTAGTACTCTTATGTTTAGAAAATTATGTAAATCGTCAATACTCATACAATAATACCATAGGAAGTTAAGATAAAGTTTAAGAGCAACATAAATTCTTGACTTAAGACATATCACACATTATGTTCATCTACTTGTTTTTGTGCCTCTCCAAATTATATGCAAAGGAAGGGTTGTTTTCTCTGATGCCTCTGGACCTTATATATGTACAATGACGCGTCCCTGAAAGGCAATATAAGTGTTGAGAATCGTGGGCAAGATAAGATACTATAGCAAAGTGAGAATTTCAGTAGAGATATCTGTTTCTACTCGGTTATTTATTTTCTATAATAAAAATTTTCAGTTAATTTTATCAATGCTCTTAATTTTATTTTAGTTTTGTATGTCTACAAGGCATAAGCCCAGAATAACGGCTCTTGTATGTCTAGTGCTTCTAGGTTTGTAAAGCATATATTTAAAAAGGTAAAGCAGTTCTTAGCCATTAAGCTAATTGTGGAGCCCTTTATTTCTTTTGCTACCAAGGTTACTTCTTTTGAAGTTGCATTATCTTGTAGTCAAATTCAAAAGTTTGAGTCTGCTACGGCTAAGCCGATCAAGGATCAAGCTTTTGCTTCTGCAGTTTATTTTGCTTCGTTTCTTTGTATTTCCATCTTTAAAAAAAGTGCAATGGGCTACCGGATTTGAATGTCTAAACAACCCAAGGTTCTCTCTCTCAGTTAGTACTAAGTCTCTGATGTCATCATTTAATAACCCATGTAGCCATGACTCTACCTGCAGCAATAATATGTACACGAATATGATAGAAAACACAAACAAAACAAATCAAACTGTAAGCAAAACAGTATGATTATGAGTACAAGTGTAAAGAATTTAGTAACCAAGAAGTTAAGGTCCTTGGGGTTAGGTATATTTAGATTTAGTATATCTCTTTTGGTTCGTATAATTATTCAAGCAAACTTTTGAAAAACACTTCTTTTTAGTGAGCGATAAGTTAAGGTCTTTTGATTCGTGTATCATCTGTTTTTCGGATCTGTTTTTTTGTAGAATTATTTCGTTGAATTTTTTGTTATAAATTCAGTCTACCCATTTTTAGAAACTCAGATGACACCTCAACCTTCTTAGGTTTATTTGAACCCTGGTTTGACTAATCATTCTGAACTTTTAATCTTAATTTGAATCTATTAATCATATTTTCCCCATCCATACTTTAATGTAATGCAAAATACTAATTGTGGGCATTAGAATAATTGGATTCCAACAATTACTTAAATGATTAGTTTTGGCTGAAATGAAAGCTACTTAAATAACATCAACTTATTTACCTTTGTATTATCAAATAAATGTTAGGTATTGTTTTTTAATTGTTTCAGATTTTCAGGTGATAGTGATATGTCCTATTGGTCAATGCCACTTGTGTCAAGTGTGTGCCAATGCCACTATGCATCCAAGCAAGGAGTATCATGCAAGGAGTATCAAGGGAAAACATGATGTTTATCCGTTTGTTTTAATTGTTGTTTTAAAATTTTCCTCATGCATTATTAGTACTGAATCTTTTAGTACCATGTTATGTAAGCTCAGATGTTATGCTTTATGTTATTGTTTTTCGCCAAACCATGGCTATGTATGTTTAAGTAGGTAGTGAATTTTTTTTGTATATACTTGAGTGTAAAAAATTGCAATTTCTCTTTCAAAATTAATGAAGTCCTTCGTTTACTTGATTTAGTAAGGTGTATAAAAAAGGACACTAAACTAGCATTTTCTAGTAAGAAAAGCACAACACTAGAAAGTGGAAAAAATTGTAGTAAAAACTTAGACAAAAAATGGAAATATCAAACTCTAAAGCAGCAATAAAAATTTGAACAAAGCTCACTTCGTAGTTCGTACATACTGGTGGTAAACCTTCTAGTACATCAATGCAAACTTGCATAGCATATGCTTCGTATATACAAAGCTGAAAATCAAAATTTGACACAAATACGAGAAAACGAACACTATATTTGAGCCATCATATATTTCAGGCTAAACTTAACAAATATAGTGTCATTGGTGTTTCTGAGTTGTAACCCATTCTTCCCAAGGATACACAAAATTATTGCATAGTAGTTGTAGCTGATAAAAATCTATTGTTTAATATACTTGTAGCTTACAAATATAAGTCACCATATACCATTGGTAACTTAAATATATAAGTACTCTATACAATCTACCATGTTGCAACTCTTCGTCATCATCATTATCATTGTGAAAGTAGAATCATCTTCTATCTCAAGTACAAAATCTTCAAATCCTGATCCAACTATAAATGACTTCTTCATATGTTACATATTCCGGCCATCTCATGACTCAAACTCTTATTCGACATCTGTTGACAAGCCTCCATGTGTCTGAAGCAAGTAATAAAACAATATTAGAAACAACAACATAGGTACAACCTAATATTATTCTGATCACTAGACCTTTCCTATAGAGAGACCTTCAAAATCCCAAATGTATACTATTAAAGAATCTAGCAATTCAAAAGACTTCATACTAATATTTACCTTTCTCCGTAGATCAGGTAATGTTAGCGTACTATTTTCGTTTGACTTATGTACAAAGGACATACAAATTACGGAGTAGTTGTTACCATGTTTGAAGCTTAGTTTATTTTCAAAATAAACAAGATTAATTTAACTTAGTGGTTCAATTAGGCCCTAGACTTCTAATTGAGCATGTGAAGTAGAGCATGCAAAATCATAACAATCATCTGAGCGTGAATCCTAAAATCATACCCTTCGATAGTCGCCCTTCTCCCTAAGTTATGATATGAAGCACTAAATGGTTAAGTTTCAAAATTGGAACACATAATACATAACCAGTAAAAGTTAAAAGTTAGAAATGCCTAATACTTCTAACTAAGATTAATTAGATCTTAAAGTCATGTTTTAATTTTATAAGATTAAATCTTTAAGAAACAATCTTCATTCATGACTAAAGTTTCAAGATTTATAATTGTGTACCTTTAGTCATACTCCCTCCGTTCTTTTTTAATCGCAATACTTTCCTTCTTGGGTAGTTTCAAAATAATTGCAACATTACCTTTTTTAGTCATAAGAAATAACAATAATGACTATACTACCCTTAAAACCAACAAATAATACTCCGTACTAATCCATCTGCTCCACAAATTTCTTTTGCATTATCTTTTCACCACCTGCCCATCCCTTCTTCCCCATCCCGATTTCTTTCATCTCCGATTCTTACTATTTCTTCATCCATTCCTCCATTGTTTTTATCCAAAAATTCACCCTATTTAGGCATTTACGTAGCACATAAAATCCAACAAAATCAATTATGAATGAAACCTAGGCCACGATTACCATCTTCCTAGTCATATCCTTCGGCTGTTAGAGCTCAACCTCGGAGGTCCGCCATTAATGGCGCCTGAAAGCTTTTCTCGCGATCCAAACGGCAGCAACAGCCTAAAGAGTCTTAAGCAACGAAGGTAGCAGCAGAACAGAGTGGACCTCCGCTTTCTCCGGCACACCGGCTGCCCAACCGCGCCGACAACCGAGGCCAACTCCATCTAGCCGGACGCTTCATTGGTTACGCATTATCCTTACCGCTCTATACACATAACATTCATACGTGAGTTGGAAGGTCAATTTACCATATTAGCATACTTTTATCTCACATGACTCCATATTCATCAATATGGTTTCAATTCATGGTCAAGTCCATTACTTATCATTCATATCATGTTCAAGCATATTTATTCACAAAAACATGATTCAAGCATTTAGGTAATCTCATGCATAACCTACAAGTTGTAAGCAACTAGATGTCGGTCCTCACCTCAAATGAGCTTTAAAACCTTCCTTCTCGCTCCAACGACCAAAGCCTCGGCCAAGAAGGTTTTAGAACTGATTCCTTGCTTGGAATTGAGTGTTAAACAGCCCCCTCAAAGTGCTAGTTCAACTCCTAACTGAAGACGCAAAAACAGTCCCTAGAACGGGTGTTTCCCGACGAATTCGTTCCCTAACCTTTCAAGGTTTTGTCTAGGTTAGTATCTAACCTTTCCAACAATTAAAGTCACTTTATAATAACATTTTATACACTTCAATCAGTGTATAATAGTTCTTCAATCATTTATACGATTTAGACAATAGAGAGGAAGATTTTGGATTCAAACTTACTTTGAATACAAAAACGTATTCTGCGAGGTTGTGTTTTGCTCGGACGATTTGGAAGCCTTCCACTACTCCGATTGATGCAAACCAGACATCCACGGATTCCTCGTCTTGAGAGCTTTCTTTTGGTATCTTATACGCCTTAATTGGACGAGTGAATCTCGAGTTATGGCTCAAACAATCAGAGCTACGCACTGAAGAACGAACCTGCGGACAGCTTGCTCTCTCTTTGGCTTATCTTGGTTATGTGGCTCTCTCCTTCTCTCTTATCTTGGGTATTTCGAATGGGGTGTAGGGGGGAGTGTAAAGGATGCCTTAAACATGCTAAGAGAGCATGTGGCTCACAAAAGAGCATGGGAGACATTGGTTTGCAATCAAATGTGAGGTGGACCTCCACTTTTATTTCTTTTTGTAATGTATTGCTCTTAAGTCAACATGCTCGCCCCATATAGTCATCTCACCCATTTTTCTTTGTCTTGCAGGTACTCAAGTCATGTGGAGTGGTTCCCAATTGATCCCAATCATTTTGGGGTCCAAAATATATATCAATACTTCCAAAAATGGGAAGATGGGTCCTATAGTTTCATCTTTTGTCAAAGATGTCTTTTTGTACTCATCCTAATTTATTTAGAACAAGTCAACTTCCTCCATCACATTATTGATCTCCAATATGTGTAGGTTCATCACAATAATTTACTTGATGGATATCATAGCAGGAAAATCCTACTCCCATTATTTAGCTCAATAATGCCAAAGATGGGGTTATAGGCATTTGTATTCTTCTTTAATCATTCTATCACTTATTTGACATTTGTCATACATATTATTGGGCTACTAGCCGTGTGGGTCACTCCCGAGTGGGTCTAGAACGTCATTCTCGAATACTTGCTATTTTTAGCAGGTTGGGCCCCAAAAATGTTTGGGCCGCCCGACCTTCCTCAAATTGTCTTGAAAGATTATGTATCACTATTTAGATAATGTTGGGTTTTTTATTTATTTATTAATAAGTCCCGAATAAGTATTTGCAAAACCCGACACTAATGTACGAGTTTGAATAGTACGATATTCAACCATGCACTACGTAGAACATTAATCGTTTTACAATTGTTTGGAGTCGGAAATTCGATATATATATTTGAATTTAAATTGAATTTTCAAGGACGTTCGGGTGCGGTGTCACAGGATGGGTCTTCCTAATCTAATGGGCCAGAAATGGGCCGAGGTAAGCCCAAGTGGGCCAGGGTGGCCAAATTGAGCCTCGCGGACCAGGCCCGGCATGGGGGCAGTGTCTTGGACCTCTGAACAGTAATAGGCCGGGGTAATATACCCCAACAATACTCATTTAAGTTTAACATAAAACTCATTTCTAATTAGTTCAATATTCATTTATGTATGTTCATTTTTTTTTAAGTGTATACTCATTTGAGTTTAATATATAGCTCATTTGAGATCACTAATATTAAATGAGTACACATTAGTTACAAAATGAGCATTCAAAAAATAAAAAAACTCATTTAAAATGTGCAGTATGCACAAAATTTCTTTTGTATATGTTCATATATGTACAACTACGTATAGCTAATGTTTCTCCTGACTTAAATCCAAACAAGTTACCAAAATCATTGAACCTAAACCTAGTAAAAAAACCTAAACGAAAAGAGTTCAACAAAAGAAAAGAAAGATCACAGGCGAGCAGCCCTACTCATCCATCGGAGTTGTGGTCTGCGACAACGAGTGACGAGCACCAGTGAATAGGGAAGGGAGCGATCGAGCAAGCGGCCGGCGAGGGTAGCGAAACAGATCGACGGCGAGGGTAGCTGGTAGATCGAAGAAGGAGAAGGTAGCGCGCAAAGGAATGAAAACGCCGGTTGTACCGTGCGCACGGTACAGCCGAATGTACCGTATATTTTATGGAAAGTGAACGACAATAGTGCATTCTTTTAGACCAATTGTACGAAGGACTAGTATCAAGAATACCGTGTATTTTATGGAAAGTGAACGACAATAGTGCATTCTTTTAGACCAATTGTACGAAGGACTAGTATCAAGAATACCGTGTATTTTATGGAAAGTGAACGACAATAGTGCATTCTTTTAGACCAATTGTACGAAGGACTAGTATCAAGAATCCCGAAGAGGTGCATGTCGAGCTAGGTCAAGGATTCAACCTTTTGGACAAAGAATTGGTGAGGCTTTCTTTGAATTGTCAGTTCACGTCTTCACGCTCACAATTTTGAATGATTCGTTCCCATCATTTAAGGGTTCACAATTTTCTCCTCAGATCAGAGCGTCAGCACACTACTATATACTCCGTACATCAATTTGTCGATCCATATTGCCCTTTAATTCATCTCGGTGAAATTGGAAACATGCTCTTGGAAACGTAGTACGGAGTATTAGATTGAATAACAAAAGTATTAGATAGTGTGTAATAACAAAAGTAGAAAAAAGCTTTTGAAAAATTAAGAGTTGTTATTTTTTGGTAAAAAAAGTTCTTTGAAATGTTTAACTTTAAGGAAAAAATAATTAAAATACTCCAAACTTTGAGGGGTGTGAGGTAAGCACCCCAAACTTGCATATGTAATTTAAATACCCCAAAGTTTTTATAAAAAAATTATTTTAACACCATGGTCATGCATTATTTCTTTCCAAAATATTAATTTTTTGTGTTAATTTCATAATTTAAAATATTTTAGCATTCATGCCATGAAGATACAATTAACATTCTAAACATCCGTTGTAAAATAAAAAATAGTTAAAATACTACCCCCACTCTATATAATTGCAACATTTTTTATTTGCTACTCCTTTTAAATTATGCAATTAACACCTTAAATTTCTATTTTTGAAAAATTAATAATATATGACCATGTTGCTAAAATAACTTTTAAATAAAGTTTGGGATATTTAAATTACATATGGAAGTTTGGAGTATTTATCTCACACTTCTTCAAAATTTGGGGTATTTTATTTATTATTCCTTTAACTTAATTAGGTAGAATTTGAAATTTAAAAACAGTTTTTTCAATATTTTTAACCAAAAACATTGGACCAATCAAATGAATGAGGTATGATATCCGGTTTTTAGTACCGGATTTCTCACCCAAATTGAAATGGCGTTCATTTAGGGAGTGTTTGCAACTGCTTCTGCTTAAAAAACACTTTTGGAGATGTAAGGAAAAAGTGATTAGTAGGAAAAGTTGATACTGTTTGAGAAAAAAGTGATTTTGAAAAGTAAAAGTTGGTAGTGTTTGGTAAAATAAGTGTTTTTTGTGTAATAGAAAAGGAAAAAACACTTTTCACACGCAAGCCGAGAAAAAGTAAAAATTGGTAGTGTTTGGTAAATAAATGCTTTTTTAAGCCAAAAGTTGAGAAATGCTTTTTTTTAAGTGATTGCAAACACTCCCTTACTCATTTTGCTGGATCTCTTTATTTCCTTTCAACCATTACTCACTCCTATTGCTTATACTATCATATATAGATCGTATTACCATACGAGTATACGACTGCCTGGATAGGTAAGCCATTATTCCATCACAAGCTTATACTCCGTACGGAGTATTTTTTAGTACAATTTTTGTTGTAAATGGGGCTTTACTATTACAAAAATTCCTTTTGTACACGTTTTTGTACCCATCAGTACACGCATGTGTCTGTGAGAGTTTTTTTTTGTCTGTGAAGTGCGGTCCACAGACAAAAGCTGGTTTGTTTTGTCTGTGAAATTTTCCACAGACAAAACAAGCGAACTTATGTCTGTGGACCGCGCTTCACAGACAAAAAAAAACTCTCACAGACACATGCGTGTACTGATGGGTACAAAAACGTGTACACCAAGAATGGTTGTTACTATTATACTACACATTTGCATACGTTCTTGAAAGTTTCTTTTTGTTTGTAAAGACAAAACATGTGTGTATAAAAGGGTATTTTTTTCTTCTATTTTCTACGTATGTTGCCTTTACCTTACCGTCGATCAAATTAGAATAAACAGGGACGGACTCAGGAAATTCATGTTGAGGGGTTCATATATTTTTTGAGGGCGAAAATTATTACTTTTTGAGAGGGCGAAAATTATTTTTCTTATATATACGCACTAAAATTAAATTTTGCTGGAGGAACGGTAACCCACTGGGTCTGTACTACGGTTCGCCCCTGAGAATAGATGTTGTGGGCTTGAATTATTAGTGTATTAAAAAAGGTTGCACACAACATGATATTGCAAATTTGCAACGTGCATGAATAATAATAAGATGCTCTCTAGCATCCATTTGTTCTTTGAGTTGAGATTCGACCACAATGCAAGAGTTATATTGTTACTTTTAACAATTATAACATTTTAAAAACTCGTATAGGATAGGCATCTGATTGTTTTTAAAACACATCTCTTAATTGTAATCCCAACAGTGAAAAAAACTAAACTAATATTCAAATTTTAACCAAAAGATACTTTATTGACTTTGGTTAATAATTAAAATGCATAAACAAAAAAAAAGTCAAGAAAAGGTGTGAAGTTAAAAGCCCTATAGATTTCCGGACACAATATTAAGGGAGTATTTGCGATTATTTGTGCTTTTAAAAAGTGGTTTTTTAAGAAATTTTTGGAAAAATGATTTATAGTAAAAGTAGATAGTGTTTGGGAATAGAAGTGGTTTTAATTACAATGTAAAAGTTGAACTGTTTGGTAAAAAAGTGATTTTTGATGTAATGTATAGTTAAAATACAAAAATATCCCCAATTTAAATAGTGCATCCACGGCTGTCTCCTTTATCCCTTTTCCCCATTTCCGATGGGCTGGAGTGCGGTGGGAGATTCTTCTGGTGAGTGCCAAAGGGTTCAATAATATGTACATCTTGGTATTCTCGAATCTGGATTGCTAATATGTTGTTTCTAGGTATGTGGAGTTTAAGAACTAGTAGTGAATGGATTTGATTTAATACACACACAGAGAACATTGGTAAAAGGAATCTGGGCAGATCGGCGGCCGAGCAGACCGGCGACGACGAAACAGATTGACGGCGGCGAAGCAAATCCGCTGCGGGAGTGGCGATGGAGAATTTCTATTTGGTGGACAAGGCCAATCAGCTATGGTGCCGGTGAAGTGGATCAACTACAGTGGCACCGGAGAAGAGTGGTGGACCTTCTTGCTGGCGGCAATTTCTGGTTGATGGAATGTGGGTGTGGCGTACGATGCTTGTTGGTGATGGAAGATGGTCTGTGTACGATACTTGCTGGGGATAAGGGTACTTTTGTATTAATTTATATACAAGTATTCTGAAATAAAAACATCCCAAAAGTTGAAGTTATTTACGGAAATACCAAGAAGCAGAAAAAAGCATCCCTAGACCTGCTTCTGGCTTTTGTCTTAAAACTAATTAAATTAAGCTGAATTTTTCTTTTGCAAACACTACATTTAGCTTTTACCCCCCAAAAAGCTGAAAGTGCTTTTATTAAGCAAAGGCAAACACTGCCTAAGGCTCTCTTTGCAAACACTTGTGTTTAAAAAAGCATTTTTTTGGAAAAAATGATTAGTAGTAAAAGTTGGTAGTGTTTGATAAAATAAGTGCTTTTTTTGTAATAGAAAAAGTAATAAATAGATTCTACACGAAAGCCGAGAAAAGTAAAAGTTAGTACTGTTTGGTAAAATAAGTGTTTTTCTAACCAAAAAGCTGGGAAGTGCTTTTTTTTAGTGTTTGCAAACCTAAAGGCCTTAAAGCTAGCATATATTTTGCTTTATCATTTGTATTTGCCTAA